TCATAATATACTGTAGGGCATATAAAATAACTGCATAGTAATACATTAGAGTTCTTGTTAAAAAACAAAACAAAACAACCTGGCCCTCCCTACTGGCACAACAGGTTAAATCACTGCACTATGAAGCTATTGCAGCCACTGCAGCATGATTTCCGTCCCTGGCCAGGGAGCTGACCCACATGGTACAGCTCTTATCTTATCTTGCCCTCTCTTATCTTGCCCTCTGCTCCCCTCAGCAGTGTATTTCAGTCACTCTGCCTGTTCTCCCCACTCTGTCTCTGATGAATCCTCTCATCCCCCACCCCCACACCTCTGGCCTGTACCTCAATTCTTGTATGTGTAAATAAATAAATCTTTAACAACAACAACAACAACAACTGTCTTTTAGATGTATGGCTAAAGTTAGAAAATGATACACAAACTACCTAGTATACATTGGTTACCTGCTGTAAAGTGGAAATTGGAAAGTACAGCAGGAAACTTTTTACTCGTAGACCTTTGGATTGTATCATTTGTTACAATAAGCAAATACTACATTTACAGTATAAAAATTAATGGAGAAAATTTTCTTCAAATTATTTTTATAAACACAGATGTTTATAAATAAATCTTACAGTTTTAACTGCTTACAAAGTTTGTACAAAGACATATAAAATCCAGAAGTCTTTTTCTTTCCTAATTCTTCTTTCTTCTTACCTTGATTCTATCTGCTTTCTTTTAACATCTCTCTTAACTCACATAATCGAAACAAGAATGCTCTACTAAGCTCACTAACCTGTCCAAATTTACACAGACTTCTCATCCCTGTGATGCTTCCTGACCCTGTGCTCATTTTAACTAGTTATTACACTTCACCCATCTGTCTGTTTTATACAGAGGCCTTTGTATGCACTGACTCTCATGGATTTTTTTATTCCTAGCCTCTCTGTTTTTCTGTCAGGTGAATGGCTTGCAGTCCATTCCTTACGGGAGAGTTTAGCAGATTTCTATACCATGGACCTCCTTCTTGGCTTGAACCATTCTTGGCTTAACATCTCATTGTCTCTAATATAAGCAGAAAGGAACATAATAAAGGGAAAAAGATGGCTCAGAAAATTTGGAGTGAGCTGGAAGGGGTGGCTCTGGACTGTTTGGGAGTGACTTTCAGGGTGAGACTGCAGTGCTCCACCAGGGTTACTGTCACTCCTGAAGCTGCACACACTTTCTTCTGAGTCAGGGGATCAGGAAGCTGGACTCTAGGAGGGTCCTCTGCTCTTTCTGATCCTGCAGCAACAGTCTCTTGGTATCCAGGAAGCTAGTCAATGGGCACTGGAACCTGTGAGGAAGCCTCAAGTCTGCTGCTGCCTTAGCAGGAAATCAGCCAAAAGGAACAGAAAGCTGACCCTTCAACCTGAAATATCACATGAGTGTAGCTCACTGGGTGACTTCTTTCAGAACAGAATCCTAGTGGCAAAAGAGCTATTTCATGTTTGTCTCTCCTGCTTCTAAGTAAGCTTTTGAGGGCAGACACCATGTTTAGCTGGCTCACCACTATGTTACCACTCTCATTCACAGTACTCATTCCCAGGGCTGGAACAGGCGGTGTTCTAAATCTTTGTGAGTGTTAATTCATTCGATGCTCATCACACACTGTGGGTATAAGTATTATTACTCCCATCCCACTTCCGGTTTATAGAGGGATAACAGGCTCAGAGAGGTGAAGTAAGTTATTTAGGTCACCCAGTGGAAAACAGGACTTAAATGTCACACTTCAGACTTAAGGCTTGTAGTCTTACTGGGTACATTTTACTGCTTCAATAATTATTGAAAACATGTCCATTTAAATGTTTGATGAATTGAATTACACAAATAATTTCTTAGACAAATTCATACTTACAGAGTACCTCTATAGTAAAGTTTTAACATGTTTATGGAGATTATTTTATTATACTAGCTACTCTGGAAACCTTGCCAAATCATTAAAGATAATCTGTCCAAAGGTGAATAGTATTAGTTATTCAAGTGCGATGAAGTTATATACCTCTGAGACTAATGATAACTTGGAACTAGAGAAATATACTTTTTTTTTTTTTTTTTTTTCTTTTTCTTAAAGAGAACTTTATTTAGGTGCCATACTCACCAGTGTTAAAAGAACAATGAACATTAGGCCCCAAATTTCTTCATTTCTAGCTTAAAAAATTCTCAATATGTGGCCCTCTCTGGTGGCGCAGCGGGTTAAAGCACAGCACTGAGAAGCTTAAGCCACTTCTGCATGAGTTCGATCCCCGCCTGCCCTGGAGGTGACCACATGTCACGGCAGATCTCTCCTGACCCGCCCGCTGCTCCCCTCAGCAGTGTACTTTCTCAGTAGGCCTGTTCTGCTCTCCACTCTGTCTCTAGCAAATCTTCTCACTGCCCCTGCACCTCTGGCCTGTACCCCAGTTATGTATGCATAAATAAATAAATAAATCTTAAAAAAATTCTCAATAGGTAAATCAGTTATTGCCTAAGTCACTTTTGGCTATCATTTGATTGTGGCCTTTGGAGGACAAAATGCATAGATGGGATAATTGAGCAGCTTTTCCTCCTCCCCTCCATCCCTAGTTTAGCTTTATTGCTCACATGAAATGCTTTCATCTGCACTTTCATTTCTATATTTAACAAGAGTAACACTGCTAACTGTTATAAGGTTGTAGCAAGTGATGATGTTTGTAAAATTCTTTGAACTGTGAGAAGAAAGGTATTAATAAATACCAAAGCACAAATTAAATAGTGTATTATTTAATGAGGGGTGGATGATTCAGGAGGATTGAATCATTATTAATGCAATGCTCTAAAAGAGTATTTGCAAAGATGTTTCATGTCTTCTTAGTTTAACAGATACTTATATTCTTATAATTTTTAAGACTACATCAATTTGGTTATTGAATCAATTTTGAGAAGAGAAAAACAGTTGATTCCAAAGGACATGACTTAAAAGGGTAGAAGCTTCTTATTGATAGAGATGGGGAAACTGGAATACATCCAGTTCAGGCTTCCCATTGAACTCACGTTGAACGGGCAGCCACTGTCCCATGGGGAATTGACTGGGAACTTCCTCAGCATGCTCTGCCTGCTAATTGACTATTTACATATTGGGGATTCCCAACTGCTCTCCGGTAAGAGACATGCCCATCTAGCTGTGAAAGAGCAGTTCAAGACTAACTGTACCCATGGAGAAGTTCTTAGACAATAATAACAATAATAATAATAATAATAATAATAATGATAATAATAAAATTGGAGTTTGTAATGACATATGTGGGACACTATCCTGTGGAATGATTATCCATCTCAATTTTTTTTTAAAAGATTTATTTATTTGTGCATATAGAACTGGGGTACAGGCCAGAGGTGCAGGGGCCGCGAGAGGCTTCACCAGAGACAGAGTGGGGAGCAGAACAGGCAGATCGACGACGAAGTACACTGCTGAGGGGAGCAGGGGCGGGTCAGGAGAGGTCTGCCACACCATGTGGTCACCTCCAGGGCAGGCGGGAATAGAACTCATGCGGAAGTGGCTTTAGCTTCTCAGTGCTGTGCTTTAACCCGCTGTGCCACCAGAGAGGGCCCCATCTCCATTTTTTAATCTTAAGCCCCCATTTTGATAAACATAAAATTTTGTGTTCTTTTGTAATAAAATAATAATTTATAGAGAATAAACATAAAAGGAAAGGTAAATTTAGAATGTTTTTTGAACTATTGAAACACCCCCATCTTCTCAGGTTTTCCAAGCTGAAGATACATTCCTTCTGTATGCATTATCTTCCGTGAATGCTAGGCTAGTAGTTCTGGAAAGCTATTCTCAGATGGGCTCTGATAGCTGATTACACGTTAAAACTTGGACTTTGTGCCTACACCTAGACTATGTTTCCTTTTGTCTCATTTCTTTTCTAGACAAACTGGGCTGCTATTGCATGGCAGTGGCATCAATTCATACTTTGTTTCATGGTGTTTCCTAGGGAGTGAAATTCAACTAGTACTGTAAAAGTTTATTTACGGCACGCCCATTTATTTCACTTGATGCTGCAGTCTCCGACTACCCTAGCAATCGGTTAAAGATTACTCAGCAACTCCGCGGCTGGGATTTTTCACCTCTGGTCCCATTTACTACAGGGATACCGTCAACGACACAGATGGAATTCATCTCCAACACGTGAACATGACAACTGTTTGGATCTATCATTAATCAGAACAAACACAGAGACTTTGACTCCTGCTTGTCGATTTATGCTGTGTCTTGCAGATTTCCAAACGACACGTTGCTTCTTAAATACCTTTGCATCACTGGAGAGAACTCAGGAAGCCAAGGACCTCTGATTGGAATTTGACACTACCAAAGAGAGTAGTGGATAGAACGAGTGAGCAAAGTAACAAATGTCAGCCTGCGTTCAACATGGTGCATTTTACATTTTTAACCAGAGGATCTAGCTCCTCCAAAAGTTTTTTCTTCTTTTTATTAGCGTAGCTGGACACCCTCTGAGCCAAAATGAGAGTCAGGCGCTCCACCCCATCGCCTTCCACAGCCCGCGCTCGGCCCCCTGCCCACAAGTAGCCGGCACTACAGTTCCCAGGCTGCCGCGCTCTTCAGCGCGGGCAGCAGGCCGGGTCGAAGCTCCGCCCCACACGGACTGTGCCGGGAAATGGAGTGAGCGGGCCTGGCTCCCCTTCTTCCTTCCATGAGGCAGTCCCACTTGGAGGGTGTGATACGCGGCCATGGCGGGCTCCCCCGTTTCATAACCGGAGCTAAACGTGACCGAAGCTTGTGTCCTCCGTCCAGTGGTGGCACCACGCACGTCTAAGGAGACAGAGCCCCGCCCCTGGTCCACACCCGTTCCCTAGACAGCTGAGCTGCGCTCTCAGCAGCCGCGAGGTCGGGAGCGCGCAGGCGCCTCGGTTCTCGCCGCGCCGGCTGGACGAGGGGGCGGGACGAGCGCGAGGCGCTCCGGGCCGCGGGGCGCGCACGTAGGCACGCAGGGGCCGTCACGTGGGGCGCCGAGGATCGCAGTGCGCGTGGCCGCGGCGGCTGGTGTGGGGTTGAGTCAGTTGTGAGACCAGAGCTGCTGACCCAGCGGGCGGCCCTCAGACTCGGCGACCGAGCGGAAGGCGTCGGGGCGCGGCAGCCGTGAACTGGCCCCATCGTCGAGCTCGGCCGAGCCGGCACCGTCGTCCGTCCTCAGCCAGCAAACCGCCGCCGCGGGCGCGCCCCCGCTCTGCGCTGTCTCCGATGGCGTCCGCCTCCGGGGCCATGGCGAAGCACGAGCAGATCCTGGTCCTCGACCCGCCCACAGACCTCAAATTCAAAGGTGGGCTGGAAGCGGGAGGCCCTCGGCAGGGCGCAGCGGCCGGGGGGCTTGCTTTGCGGCGGGCGGGGCGTGTGGAGGGCAGG